ACCTACTAGCATGTCTTCTGGAGTGTGAGAGGAAACTCATGCAAGCAGAGAGTGAACATTCAAACTCCATGCAGGTAGTGTTGGGATTCGAACCATCAACCCTAGGGCTGCAGAACAGAAGTGGTAACCACTAAGACACTGTACTACGCACATAGATGGTATAAAATGGTATCAAATTCACTCTGAAGAACCTACAAATGAGGCATGAACATGAAGGTGTCCCCGACTGTTATATGTGGCATCTCCTGTGTGCTAAAAGGCTGACAACTTAGTAAGGCCCAAAACTGCTGTAATCATAAGGTTCTTACCCTTATTCCCATGGAGAATCCAGCAAGGAGATCCTGCATATGCTAGGCAGCCAGAGGAAGTCTGCTGAGTCATGAAATTGCAGACATCCTTCTTTATTAAACACTGACATAAGAGTTTCTTCTTTTTAACTACTGGGATGCAGATGAGGATGTGAACACTGTTCTTAAAAGACAAGATAAGGAATTACTGATCCATCACTAATGGCACATTTCCTTCCACTACACACTGGTGTTAAACAGTTTACTTATCAAAATAAAATACTGTACTTTCAGGTAATAAACCACTTTAGGGACCATAGAGTAGGTTTATACCTCCAATCAGTCATTCTGGTTCAGAGGACTATGTAGTAATGATCAAACATTAATTATTAGAGATGTAGGCCAGGGATTATAAACTGCATATGGCCCAAAGTGGTGTTAATCCAGCTCTGTCTCAGGTGTACTACTGGACATACTGTACATGAAAGGATGAGTGCTCTTTAAAACAAAGTGCGCATGTCCAGGGGCGGACTGACCATTTGGAAACTCGGGCACTGCCCGAGGGCCCGGGGTCAGTAGGGGGCCCCATGAGATGCCCCTGGTACCTTTTTCATAGGCTTTTTTGAATTTGGGAAAGGACACAGGGGCCCCATGATCCCCCATTGCCCGGGGGCCCCATGAGTTGTCAGTCAGCCCTGTGCATGTCCTTTTTTGCCCTTCTTCTCTTAGCTAACTGATCACATCTTTCACAGATTTATACTTACTGAGATTCGATGACTGTGGCTTCTGTTGATTCTTCACATACCGTATCACAAGTCCTCTCTCCTGGCCATGCATGCGCATTACAGCCCCATAGTCTACTAGTCTGGGACTAGTCTACCTTCTTTTTTCTGACCATAAAAAAATAAAAATGTATCATTTATCAAAGAAGGTATTTCCTCTATTATTTCTACACAAAATACTTCAGTCAGTTGCCTGATTTTGTTCCATGTTTTTATCTTGGAGTTGGACTTTATTTTAGTTGTGTGGCTTGGGGCTGGCCTGGAAGAAAACTGAAGAAGGTTTACAAACGTTAAAACATTTACTTCACTTTCAGTACTTTACTTAGAGAAAAATTTGTAAAGAGCATCGTTGTTACTCGTTAGAACTCTGTTGGGCCTCATCATTGAAATTGTTTGTCAGGCACATGAACAGGTACATGAATTGATCAGAGGCCAGCACTAAGGTCAGAGTGTTTATATTGGTTGTTTTAAAGGAAACTGCCACTGTAAAATTATTAGTGCTTTATGGAATTTCACATATTAAGTCTTAATGTCTTGTCAGTTAATCAATGGAGGGTCTTATGGGAGATTATTGTTGGACTGTGCTTATAGCATCAGTTGTCCTTAAACCATCCTACCTTCAGATATTGTGCTTAGGCAAAAAAAAAATTAAAATCAAGAGATTTGGAAAGTTTTCACTACACTGGGACATTCAAATTCAAGGAATCAATGAAAATGCAGTATTTCAGATATGAACTGTTGACCCAAAATACTGTGCACAGCACTATAAGAAAGATGGTAAGCAAATTACAGGAATGGACTCTGTGAAATCCTGTCTGCAGATTGTAACCTGTTCTTATGCTAGAAGTTTAAGCTTAAAGCAAAACTAAACCTATCCATGGTTTTATTAATGGTTTCAAACCACAGTTACATTCCCAGCATGCCAGGATTGCTAACCGTCACGTTTACTCATGCCTTCAACCTAACTGTCAAGCCATCAAATGTCTGGTGTCATCACAAATGACATGTGCAGCACCATGGCAGTTGCAGGTCAAACAGAGGCTAAAGCCGGCCATATATGGTTCGAATCCTGGCTGGTTGGACAGGCAATAATCACTGTGTTTTCCCAGCAGAGACAGTCTCCCAAATTGACACCAAATCCCCCCACCCCACCCCAGACAATAGAGAGGGAATCCCCCATCAACACTGACTGGTTAAAGGAAAGGGAATCACATCATCTGTGGCCTTCTTAAGATGACAGCTTCCTTGGCTGAAAAGGATAGGAGGGTTTAATTCAGTTTTGAGTTTTCCTAATGGAATTAGTATGTTGTGATCTATGGTTGCATTTTGAAACAGTTGTACATATGTATTAGAGACAGATATTTGATAGGTAAACACAATTAGGTTCCAGGCTTTTAAAAATTACTTGGCCTGGGGCAAGTTGGAAGACACTGGTTTGGGGAAGGGGTACTCAAACTTTCTTAAGCAAGGGTCAGTTCACTTTCCTTCAGACCATGGGGGTGGTGGGGGGAGAGGGGGCAAACTTTGGCCAGAGGAAATGGAAATTGTTTCGGTGTCAGTGGGAGTAAACCATACCCCAAAATCTGTTTTCAGTGGAAGTACAGGGTTGGTGATTAGTGTCAGTGGGAGGAATAGTACCCCATCATTGGAGTAAGTGAACCACTTTGAATAATGCGCCATTATTAGTGAGAGAACTGATTAAATGAAGGCAAGGGACAAAGTTTGGGGATCAGTCCATAATCAGAATGATGAAATGTGATATACTCCAGTCAAATTTACATTTAAAGCACAGCTGAACCCGCATATTCTTTTTCAGCCAAGGCAGCTGCCATCTTAGCCTCTGTTTGATCTGTAGTTTCCATGGTGCTGCACATGTGATCAGTTATCATCCAATATACCAGCCATTTGATGGTTTGACAGTTCAGTTGAGAGTACAAACAAATGTGACAGTTATTATTCATGACATGCCTTGAATGAAACGGTTTGGGAAAACAGTTAAATTGATGGGTTTATTTTGCACTTTTAACTGAACTTTCAAACCCTCAAATAGCTGGTGTCTTGGGTGATCACAGTTACAGCACCATAGCAGCTGCAAACACATTGGACTTGACAAGCAGCTTTAAAATGGAATAAAATGGACCAATTTAACTTCTCAAGTTCCCAGTTTCCCAAATCAGTTTGCAGGTGGTGCCCATACAGAGAACAGGAGAAAGGGCTCACTACTGCCCCCAGAGGTGGGCTGAGGCTTTTGCCTAATGCAGATGTGGCATTTAAGGTAGCAGTCCATCTTAAAAGCGACAGCTCTCCCCATAGACATTGTTTAACTCCCTATAATCCGAGGCATAGTTCCTTAACTCTTTATACTGTGTACACTCTGGAAACAGGTCCCATTACACTTATCTCTGCCAGTTCCACTTTTTGCCCCTGCAGAGGGCGGTACTTCCCATAAAGCCCAGGAAAATATGGCCAGCAGGTGAGCAAATCCTTTTAGTGTCCATTAGTCCAATAAGCAGTGGCAAGTTCTTATCCCTGGCACCCCAACTGAGCTTCCCAAGGGGTGATTTCCGAAAAACTTGAAGAGAGCAAGCCTTGCCTTAATGGCAGTTCCACTTTTACTTTTTGCCCTTTGCTCAACGACACCGGGCACATTTTATCACTTACTGTGGGCATGCCCAGTGATCCAAACCTTTTGTGTTCAAATAGTGCAAATACTTCATGACCACATGGGTATCATTAGACCTCAAACAAAGTCTGTTCAGCCTTTTCCCTACTCCGGATACAGATACATTTCTGACTACATTCTTGCACTAAACTCTTTTCAGTCCTTGAAAAGTGATTGCCCATAACTGAATGCAGGCACTTCCTTCCACATTTGAATCCTGGTTGATGGATGTGAATACCACATTCACCTACAAGAAGGTAATATATTTACACAGAGGCCCTTAAATGCAAAGTCTGGGACTGGTGGCTGGTGCAACCCAGTACCTCTATACGAGGTTTACATGACCTGTAATGTAACTGCCTGATTAGTCCTTTGGACCTCTCCCCCCATATTCTACCCTACCCACTGAGAATGCAAATCCGAGGGCTCTGTACATGAGCAGCATCCCCTCAACGAGGTCTTTTTTCCTTGCAACACAAGACTCGATGTGTGTATGTAGGTCAGTACAATGTATCTAGATGGTTTATAAATGATCAGTACATTTTGATATACCTCCTTATGTGGCTTTTTTTTCTGTGGCATTGTATCTTCTGTACCTGCCTGATGCCTTTGATACTAAGACATCTGTTTACTCGAAAGTAGGTCATGAATAGTTTGTTTGAATGTTGATGAGTTTTATTAAGCTTTATCTGTAATGATTTCAATAAAACATGATTTTTTCAAAGTGAAAATGGCAGCTTTTTTCACTGCAAAGCATAGGAAGGTTAAACCATATCAAGCAAGGAACCCTTTCACCCCCTTCCAGTCTGAGCTAATTTTCATCTTTCAGCACTGTCACACTTTGAATGACAATTGCACAACACTGTACCCATATGACATTTTTAGCATTTATGTTTCACACAAATAGAGCTTTCTTTTGGTGGTATTTGATCACCACTGGTTTTTTTTTTTCATTTTTTGATATATGAATGAAAAAAAAAATTACAATTTTGAAAAATAAAACATTTTTTGCTTTGTTTTTGTTAAAAAGTTTTGCAAATAAATAATCTTTCTTCATAAAATTAGGCCAAAATGTATACCGATAAATATTTCGGGTAACAATAACCCAAAACAGTGTATATTATTTAGTCTGTGTGAAAGTTATAGAGTCTACAAACTATGGGATATATATATATATATATATATATATTTATATTAAAATGGATGCGTTGAGACCCTGAAATGATGGATGCTGGTATGTATGGCACTGATCAGGACGTTGCAGTGACATATGGCGGTGATCAGGACACTGGTATGGAGTATGGAGGTGATCAGGATGCTGGTATGGCATGTGGGGGGATCAGGACACTGGTATGGGGTATGACAGTGATCAGGTCGCTGGTATGACATATTTGGTGATCAGAACGCTGGAATGGGTATGACAGTGATCAGGTCGCTGGTATGGCATATTTGGTGATCAGAACACTGGTATGGGGTATGGCGTGATCAGGATGCCCTTTATGGGGTATGGTGGTGATCTGGGCATTGGAGTAGTGTATGGCAGTGATCAGGGTGCTTGTATGGTGTATGGAGGTGATCAGGGTGCTGGTATGGTGTATGGCAGTGATCAGGGAGCTGGTATGGCATATAGTGGTTGTGATGAACTAGGAGTGCAGAGAGAGAGCACACAGAGGCAAATCAAAAGGAACCGAGCATTTATTCAGGGTATCAGGGTACAGGCAGTAGGAGAACTAATCCACAGAACAAACAGTAGGCACAGCAAGGGAGAATGTTCCTCAGGAAGGCAATGTGGGACAGCTAACCAAGGAGGCAGTCAACAGGGCAGCTGTGAGACACAGCAAGGGAGAATGCTCCACAGGATGGCAATATGGGGCAGCAAACAAGGGAAGTAGTCCATAGGGCAAGGGAGCCACAGCAAGGGGGAATGTTCCACAAGACTACAATATTGCACAGCTAACAAGGGCGGTAGTCCACATGGCAGCCGGGAGACACAGCAAGAGAGAATGTTCCACAGGATGGCAATATGGAACATCAAACAAGGGAGGTAGTCCACAGGGCAGCCAGGAGACATAGCAAGGGAGAATGTTCCACAATCCAGGCACAATGAGGACAAGCAGCAATAGACTCAGGGACTCACCAATCAATAGCAGCCGCAGCTGAGGAATTTAAGGCACATCACGGGTCCTCAGAGGGCTGTGTGTCCTGGCCACAGCACCTGGACCACACAGACAGCCATTGCAGGAAAAGCAGAGAAGAGAGTCCCAGTGTCCAGGAAGTCACGTAGACAATATGGAACTACAAGTCCCAGCAGTTCAGAAAGCGAAGCATAGCCCATACAGAACTATCTTTCCCAGCAGTTCTGTGTATCATCTAACTTCCTTCTAGGAAGACATGCAGCCCTCAGCTCCTGTGTGTCCATCATAGTAGTAAACTCAGAAAAAGTCTGACCTTTTCTGCCAGCATAGGGATATTATATTGTCCTTTGATTTCAGCCAAGCCTTATGCAAACGGTGCTGGCAAGTCTGTCTTTTTTCAGCTACAGGACACTGTGCTGTCTATGCTTCCTGTGGATATCTCATACCCCCTGCGGGTCATAGGAACTCATAGATTAATTAAACGGACAAACTGAATGCTTTACACACTGTTGATTTCAACAAAAGAACACACAAAAAAAATATTTCTGCCCTCCACTACAGTGGTGATCAGGGCATTAGTATGGCGGTGATCAGGACATTGGTATGGTGTATGGCAGAGTTTTTGTGTGTACTAGGACAGGTGACGGTTGGCTGCATTTTTTTTATTTACATTGCATTTACATTGCACAGGGGCAGTGGTCAGGGACACTGGAGCAGTGATCAAGGACACTGTGTGGTGGCTGGCACTGCAGTCTGTGAGTGTACATGTAGCCTGACAGGTTGCTGTACACTCACAGGCTGCAGCATTGGTTCTCTCTGCTCTCACAGTGAGAGCAGAGAGAACCGATCTTTACTTTTACTTTGTATTGTTTTCTATGTGATTGCTGTGATTGGACACACCAATTGCATAGTAAAATACCTATGTGATCACCTGGACGCAGCAGTATTGCGAAATCTGCTGTGTCCGAGTGACACACGGATCACCAGGCTCCCAGTTGCATGCTCTTTGAGCCATGCAGGAACCTCCGATGTGGGCTGACATACAGGTACAGTACATTAGCCCACATCGGCACTGCTTCCCGTCTGCTGTCTATAGGCAATGGGCAGATAGGAATCTGTTAAAATCTATGTTACCCCAACATTTAATATTTCTGATGTGTCTGTGTTACCATGTACTTGTATGAAAGAGTGTCCTATTCTCTTTGCATTCCTTTGTGTGAAATACCTGGTGATCCTGCCAGTCCCCCTGCTTTCCTATTCCAAACTGACCTTGACAGACATGTATACATATCTATCCCAGCGTGGTCAGTTTGCATTCTGTTTGCTGTAATCCAGTGGTCAAACTTCTACTGACATGCCCCCCTTCAAAGCAAATCACTGGGAAGATTATTGCATCAATGTTTCTCTGTCTCCTAATAATAAGCTCCCCTGCAGTCTCCACTCCCAGCTCTCGAACCCTTTGAAACTCTCTAAGCTCTCTATGCAGCTGAGAACAGAGGTCATGTTATCAATGACTATTTAAAATACGTTATGTTTCTTGCACTCTTGCATAGATTTTGCAATAGCAATAGATCACTCAAAAGAAACCTGTAATCCATTCCCATTAAGACATGTATCATTACTGCTGTAAAGCAAGCATCATAAGGTAGCCTTGACTGTACTTGCCAACATCCCATCTAGAGTGGTGTCACCATAAATGATCTCCAAGGTCAGCACTATATTATCTAAGGGTGAACATGTTTCTAGTCATATGCCAAATCATTCTGGGCATCTCTCTCTCTCTCTCCTATGACAGTAGAGCCAACTCTTTTTGGAAGGACTGAGATATTCAGTACAGCCTGGTGGCATTTCTCAGTCTTTCCACCCAGAGAGATATTATATATATCAAACTTTGGCATGCTGGCTTTGATGGCTCCCATAGGGACTATTCCCTGTATGGCAACGGATGCATCATTGGTTGTGGTTTCTATGGTAACAGAAGATCGTCTGGTTTGCTGACACTAAATGTAATAGGGCAGAAAATAAAAGGGGTTTGTATCAGGCAGAGAAATAAGACAATAGTTATGAAATAACAATTTTTTTTCTGGCATTCTTGGGCAGAAGAACAACCCATCTAATAAAATCTTCTCACTATAGCAGCCTTACTATGACAGCGTTTGGTACAAAAAAGTCAATAATACATAGACAGCTCCCAGTTCTACAAGTTCTTGTTTTCCAGTTATATACAGTATATTATACACTGTATATTATTGCAAACATTCTTACTACTGGCCCCTATTCTTACGAGGATCTGGCCAAAAACCAACCCCCTGCCCTCTCTGCTTCCTTGCCACACTGACAACTCTGATTGCACAGCACCCAGCTTATTATGATCTATGACATGTTCTCAGTCATTTTAACACTGGAGCTTCTTGCACCCTGAAAGCAATCAGCTGCTATCACACAATCAGGGAAAACTTCATCTCCTAGCATCCATCATCAACAGACTCTGTAGCCCCCAATATGACTCACTCCATATGGCACAGAACTCTCTGCCTCTGAACATTGCTCTGAAAATGTTGTTCAGCTGTAGTACCTTATGGAGCAGGTCCTGTTAGTTGGCCTGAATTCTCCCTTGTTATCATATTATGAGGGCTTTTATTTCCTTAAAGGGGTTCTATGGACATAGTAAAAACTTTCATTAATAACATCAGCATTGCAATAACAATACAAGCAATAGTTATATTTGACTGTCTCCTGGCCTGTGTGCTGCCTGTCTCCTGGCCATCGCTTTCTCCTCTGCTGTTTACTTTAAATTTCTAAGGACTACATATCACATATCTACCACTGCCGAGAGGTATTAGAGCTGGGCCAGGTAGGTGAGATGCAAGAAAGCTTTTGGGTTGAGGGCTGTCCTGCTGCCCCGATCCTGTCCCATGCCCCCCCATCACGCTGCCCCCCATCTGTCCCTCTACGCTCCTCCTGTCCCACTGCCCCTCACTTGTCCCTCTGTGCTCCTCCTGTCCCACTGCCCCTCACCTGTCCCTTTGCGCTCCTCCTGTCCCACTGCCCCTCACCTATCCCTTTGCGCTCCTCCTGTCCCGCTGCCCCTCACCTATCCCTTTGCGCTCCTCCTGTCCCATGCCCCCTGTCATGCTGCCCCCCACCTGTCCCTCTGCGCTCCTCCAGTCCCACTGCCCCTCACCTATCCTTCTGCGCTTCTCCAGTCCCACTGCGCTTCTCCTGTCCCACTGCCCCGATCCTGTCCCATGCCCCCCCGTCACGCTGCCCCCTACCTGTCCCTCTGCGCTCCTCCTGTTCCACTGCCCCTCACCTATCCCTCTGCGCTCCTCCTGTCCCACTGCCCCTCACCTATCCTTCTGCGCTCCTCCTGTCCCTCTGTGCTCCTTCTCCTGTCCCATTGCCCCTCACCTGTCCCACTGCGCTCTTCCTGTCCCACTGCCCCTCACCTATCCTTCTTCTGCGCTTCTCCAGTCCCACTGCGCTTCTCCTGTCCCGCTGCCCTGATCCTGTCCCCCGCTGCCCCCCCGTCACGCTGCCCCCTACCTGTCCCTCTGCGCTCCTCCTGTCCCACTGCCCCTCACCTATCCTTCTGTGCTCCTCCTGTCCCTCTGTGCTCTTTCACCTGTCCCACTGCGCTCTCCTGTCCCATTGCCCCTCACCTGTCCCACTGCGCTCCTCCTGTCCCACTGCCCCTCACCTGTCCCACTGCGCTACTCCTGGGCCACTGCGCTACTCCTGTCCCACTGCGCTCCTCCTGTCCCACTGCCCTTCACCTGTCCCACTGCGCTTCTCCTGTCCCGCTGCCCCGATCCTGTCCCATGCCCCCCCATCACGCTACCCCCCATCTGTCCCTCTACGCTCCTCCTGTCCCACTGCCCCTCACCTGTCCCTTTGCGCTCCTCCTGTCCCGCTGCCCCAATCCTGTCCCATGCCCCCTGTCATGCTGCCCCCCACCTGTCCCTCTGCGCTCCTCCTGTCCCACTGCCCCTCACCTATCCTTCTGCGCTTCTCCTGTCCCAATGCGCGTCTCCTGTCCCGCTGCCCTGATCCTGTCCCATGCCCCCCCCCCGTCACGCTGCCCCCTACCTGTCCCTCTGCGCTCCTCCTTTCCCACTGCCCCTCACCTATCCCTCTGCGCTCCTCCTGTCCCACTGCTCCTCACCTATCCTTCTGCGCTCCTCCTGTCCCTCTGTGCTCCTTCTCCTGTCCCACTGCCCCTCACCTGTCCCACTGCGCTCCTCCTGTCCCTCTGTGCTCCTTCTCCTGTCCCACTGCCCCTCACCTGTCCCACTGCGCTACTCCTGTTCCATTGCCCCAATCCTGTCCCATTGCCCCAATCCTGTCCCATGTCATGCTGCCCCCACCGGTCCCTCTGCGCTCCTCCTATCCCACTGCCCCTCACCTGTCCCTTTGCGCTCCTCCTGTCCCGCTGCCCCGATACACCAATGATGGGACACTATTCCTCCCACTGATACCAATGATGGGGCACTTCCTCCCACTGACACCAAAGATGGGGCACGATTCTTCCCACTGACACTAATGATGGAGTACTATTCCTCCCACTGATACCAATGATGGGGCGCTATTCCTCACACACTGACACTAATGATGGGGCACCATCATTGGTGTCAGTGGGAGGAATCGTGCCCCATCATTGGTGTCAGTGGGAGGAATAGTGCCCCATCATTAGTGTCAGTGGGAGGAATTGTGCCCCATCATTGGTGTCAGTGGGAGGAATAGCACCCCATTGTTGTCAGTGGGCAGAGCTCTAATAGGAAGAGGTGGGGCCTAAAGAGGAAGGGGTGGAGTTTGCAGATGAAAGGGTGGGACAAACTTAGATGGGGGGGTGCCCAATTTTAGTCTTGCCTAGGGCAGCACAAAACCAAAATACACCACTGGGATGGGGGAGAGTGGTGCAGAGGTCAGAGCCGAGGAGGAAGGGTGCAACTGAGAGATGGACAGCCTGTGCCAGAAAACTGAACCCTGCACTCTCTGCATAGCACACCACTAAACTCTGAACTCTGAATGTAGCACACTTCTCAACCCTGCACTTTGTGTGTAGCACACTCCTCTACCCTGCACTGTGCACACAGCGCACCCCTTAACTCTTTACATAGCACACGCCTGAACTCTGCAATCTGTACGGTACATACTCCTGAACTCTGCAGTCTGTATATAGCATACTCCTGAACTGTGCACTCTGTATGTAGCGTACGTCTGAACTCTGCATTCTGCACTTAACATACTCCTTAACCCTGCACTCTCTACATAGGCACTATGATAAAGAGTGAATACACAGTCTAACAGATACAACTGATCCTTTGAAGTCAACCATAATGCAATAGGAAGAAGGGTCAGCAGCACACCTGTCAGGGCTCTGGGTATGACCAGAGGTATGTGAACTGACGCAGGGAAACGCAGGCTTCAAAAATGTTATAAACAATATAATTTATTAATACTAACAATACATAAACGCAGTGCAATACTAAAACATAACAGTGCAAACGAACCAAACCAAACCACCCACAGATAACAATACATACAGTGCGAGCGTAGTCAGGCAAGCCGGGTCAATAACAATCGGGCAGGTAGGAACAGGAGGAGCAGGCAGAGAGTAGTCAGGTCACGAGCCGGGTACAGCAACTAACGGGCAGGTAGGTACAGGGGGTGAGGCAGAGAATGGTCGTGGTCACAAGCCAGGGATCAAACAGGAGAAGTCAGCAGAGGTCTGGATCAGGCAGGGTCGGCAACAAATCAGTCAGACAGAGACAGGGACAGGAACAGGAATGCAGGTAACAAGATACAGGGGCCCATGGAAAAAAAACACACACCAAGGCACAGACTGCAGGTCTGGCCATCCCTTAAATAACCTGCAATCAGCCTCAGGTGTCTTGGCTGACTGCAGGGTTGAGTCTCTGATTGCTGAGAGCACCCGCTGGCCAGCCCTGGTACTGCAGCCCACAAGGCAGGTGAGTCCCACCATTATTGGCAAGTCCATTCCTGACTGTACCCCCCCCCCCTCAAGGAGCGGCCTCAGGACGCTCCAAACAGTCCAAGCTGGGCAAAATGTTCCACCGCCCGTGTCTGGTAACTGGCGGGATATCAAAGACTGGCACATCGGGCTGGACTCCGGGCAGAGGCACATCGGGCTGGACTCCGGGCAGCGGCACATCGGGTTGGACTCCGGGCAGCGGCACATCGGGCTGGACTCCGGGCAGCGGCACATCGGGCTGGACTCCGGGCAGAGGCACATCGTGCTGGACTCCGGGCAGAGGCACAGGGCCCCCAGGAGGAGCGGCAGGCACAGGGCCTCCAGGCGGGGCGGCAGGCACCGGGCCCCCAGGCGGAGCGACAGGCACCGGCCCCCAGGCGGAGCGGCAGGCACATGGCCCCCAGGAGGAGCGGCGGGCGCCGGGCCCCCAGGAGGAGCGGCGGGCGCCGGGCCCCCAGGAGGAGGAGTGGTGGGCGCCGGGGCGGCGGGCGCTGGGCCCCCAGGCGGGGCGGCGGGCGCTGGGCCCCCAGGCGGAGTGGCGGGCCCTCAGGTGGAGCGGCGGGCACCGGCCCCCAGGAGGGGTGGCAGGCACCAGGCCCCCAGGAGGAGGAGCAGCAGGTACCGGGCCCCCAGGCGGGACGGCGGGCGCCTGGCCCCCAGGCCGAGCGGCAGGCACCGGGCCCCCAGAAGGGGCGGCGGGCGCCGGGCCCCCCAGGCGGAGCGGCAGGCACTGGGCCCCCCAGGAGGGACGGCGGGCACCGGGCCCTCAGGCGGAGCGGCAGGCGCCGGACCCCCAGGAGGAGGGCCCCCAGGCGAGCGGGGCACCGGGTCATCAGGCACGACAGCGGGCATCGGGTCACCAGGCATCAGGTCATTTGGCTCGCCAGCGGGCACCACGTCATCTGGCAAGGCAGTGGGCACCGAGTCACCAGGCACGACAGTGGGTTCCGATTCAACTGGCATGACCGCGGGCACTGGGTCAGACATTGGATCGTCTGGCTCGACAGCGGGCATTGGGTCACCAGGCATCAGGTCATTTGGCTCGACAGCGGGCACCGCGTCATCTGGCAAGGCAGTGGGCACCGAGTCACCAGGCATGACAGTGGGCTCTGAGTCAATTGGCACGACAGCGGGCACCGGGTCATCAGGTACCGGATCGTCTGGCTCGACAGCAGGCACCGGTTCATCTGGCGCTGGATCGTCTGGCTCGACAGTGGGCTCCGGGTCAACTGGCATGACCGCGGGCACTGGGTCAGACATTGGATCGTCTGGCTCGACAGCGGGCATCGGGTCACCAGGCATCAGGTCATTTGGCTCGACAGCGGGCACCGCGTCATCTGACAAGGCAGTGGGCACCGAGTCACCAGGCACGACAGTGGGCTCTGAGTCAATTGGCACGACAGCGGGTACCGGGTCATCAGGTACCGGATCGTCTGGCTCGACAGCAGGCACCGGGTCATCTGGCACTGGATCGTCTGGCTTGACAGCGCGGGCATCGGGTCACCAGGCATGACAGCGGGCACTGGGTCATCAGGCATTGGATCGTCTGGCTTGACAGCGGGCATCGGGTCACCAGGCATGACAGCAGGCACTGGGTCATCAGGTACCGGATCGTCTGGATCGACAGCGGGCACCGGGTCATCAGGCGTTGGATCGTCTGGCTCGACAGCGGGCATCGGGTCACCAGGTATGACAGCGGGCACTGGGTCATCAGGTGTGATAGGATCATCAGGCTGCATCAGTTCATCAGGCTGGGTACAGACATCAGGCTGGGTAGAGACATCAGGCTGAAGTGCGGGTGCCGAGGCACCAGGCTGAACCACGGAAGGCAGGATCTCAGGCGGCAGGCTCACCGGTTTGGATACTGGCAGGATGGTACTGGTTGGAAAGAATTTTCGCTTTTTTCTGGTTTTAACTACTGGAGCACTGCAAGTAAACGCAGGTCTGCAAACGAATGGAGCAGCTGAGGACAGAGAAGAGCTGGAAGATGGAACAGAGGAGGGAGCAGCCGCCACAGAGGACCTCTCCACAGGGCCAAAGAAAGGATAGGTGCAGCGAGTGGGAGCAGGGGACTGGTATGTGGTAGTTAGCAGAGTATACTGGGCCGTCACTGGGGGTGCTGTCGGGGATGCAGGAAGAGTGCCTTGAGCAGAGGAATGACGTTGCAAGCTGACTGAGGCTGGGTGCAACAAGTCTGACCATGTCTGCAGTATGGGTTGAACAAAGCTGAGCTTACACAAAGCCTGTCTGGTCAAAGACTGCACTGCGTTTATACAATCCCTTAATACCTGTGGTGAACATGCAGCATAATGCTCCAAGAAGCAATCCACATCATCCTCTAATAACCATACCAGGGACTCTACCTGGTCTGCACTAAATGGTGGCAAAAAGTAATTCCTGCTTTCAGGGGTACCAGATGAAGCCAACTCTACACAAACCTGAATCAAAGGTTGCACCTCAGAGAACTCTGTGCCCTGATCTACTAGAACATGAGCGATCCGTATACATTCTAGCAGTTGATCCCTGGTATACTCCTTCAGAGTCTGATAAGCATATTCTCTGTCATCAAAAACCAGCAGCGACAAATACACAACCTCATCAAGATCCATCCTTCCCAGCAACAAGCCAAGATGGCTTCCCTGTGCAGCCACTTCTGGTCAGGATTGGCCTTGGTGTAATGTCAGGGCTCTGGGGTCAGGCAGAGAATGGTCGGGGTCACAAGCCAGGGATCAAACAGGAGAAGTCAGCAGAGGTCCGGATCAGGCAGGGTCGGCAACAAATCAGTCAGACAGAGACAGGACTAGGAACAGGAATGCAGGTAACAAGATACAGGGGCCCATGGAAAAACACACACCAAGGCACAGACTGCAGGTCTGGCCATCCCTTAAATACACCTGCAATCAGCCTCAGGTGTCTTGGCTGACTGCAGGGTTGAGTCTCTGATTGCTGAGAGCACCCGCTGGCCAGCCCTGGTACTGCAGCCCACAAGGCAGGTGAGTCCCACCATTATTGGCAAGTCCATTCCTGACAACACCTGAGGATAGATGAATATAGTGTATTTATTGATCCATAGGACACATAAAACAACAGGACATGAATAATGAATGCAAAGCAGTTTAGGACTAACAAATTCAACAAGCAGTTCAAATAACCTATACCTGCTGTTATCCATCCTTAAGAGACACATCCATCAGGAACCGAGGTCCCCAAGGGTCATCAACAAACCTACACAGGTGCCATTAATATAGGTACTGTGGTGAACAGGTCTCCAGACCAGTCCAATGGGTTCCCAGATATTTAGGCAGCACAATGTGACACTGACTGTGATGCTTGGCACCCCACTGCCACCATTTCCCTTCACCTGGGGTAATTCCGATGATTAGGGCATCCACTTCCACTCATATTCTTCCATCCTCCGAGGTCCCCTCCTCACTACACACATCCCCCTCTTTTTAGAGAGTCAATCGGAGAAGGGTAGAAACACCAGGAGAGGAAAGCGGGGAGGAAAGAAGCTAAAAAAAAAGGGGAAAATGTAACATCAGAGTGCAACACTATTCAAGTTTACAATCTATCTTCTGTGGTCTTTAGCAAGGCCAAGCTTACCATGTTACAGAAAGGGTTGAATTTTGCTCCACCCAATCCCCCCCCCCCCCCCCCCCCCCCCCCACACACCTTTGAACTTTTTGTGGAACTGAACAAATTTGCTTCCAATTTTACCCTTTTAGTGTTACGTACACATGAAAGAGGATGCATTCTCGGACAGAGACGTTTTGCATATTCTGGAGGACCTGTGGTCTGAGGGAGCACAAGGTTTAGATTTCTCCAGGACTGATTTTTTATATAGTCATGCTAGTATAGATCTAGTCACTCACACTCATTTTATGCTGAAGTTGGTCTTCCAACCCCATTGGGCAGGAGAAAAGTACATTCCCACCTTTTATGAGGTGGTTTATTCTGAGCTCACCCATCTTTGCAGTGAGGCTGTTAAGGATCACTCCTCCTCAATGTCTCAGGTGGAGAAAAGATTTTTGTATTCACTTAGAAATAACAACACAGTCATTTATCAGGCAGGTGGATGAAGGGGTTATGCAAAACAGGAATGAATATCTTGCCGAAGTGAGAAGACTGCTTGGGGATATGAATACCTAGGAGAAGTTGGACAGAAATCCAATTTTGTGCATATAGAGAATCCCTCAAATTACTGCTGGATGAAGCACTTGTCAATTGGGTTCTCACTAAGACTAGGCGGCAATTTCTATTCAGATCATATCCCCTTACACTGTATTTCTACCATATCCCCAAAATTCATAAAGATAAAACCAACCCTCCGGGTAGACCAAATATTTCTAGTATTGACAGTCTCACCAGTCCTATGGGCAGTTATACAGATTTTTTCCTTCAGGAATTAGTGATGCAGCTTCCATTATATATCCATTGCCTGGGCCATATTTTAGACATCTTGGGCCAATACCAATGGCAGACAGGTTACCGTGGGTATCGTTAGATGTAGCCTCTCTATATACTTCTATTCAACACAATTTTGGACTGCAAGTTGTGCAATATTTCCTGGCACATGAGAACCATCTACATCCCAAGCAGGTCTCTTTTATTATTCGAAGAATTGAATATACTCTAACTATTATGTATTTCAGGATGAGTATTACAGACAAGTTAGAGGCATTGCTATGGGGGCCAAGTTTGCCCCAAGCTATGCTACTTTGTTCATGGGTTATTGGGAGCAGTTTTTCATCTGGTCCAATAATCTCTTTGGGGCAAACCTGGTCCTTTATGCTCGTTACATCGATGACATTCTAATCATTTTGGATGGGAGCCATGTCAGTTGGAAAATGTATTTTTGCCTATTGCCAGAACAACCCCATTCCCATTTTTCATCCAGGAAACATTTCAAACCATCATCAGGAAATTCCTATCTGCATGCCTGCAGGCATCACCAATCGAGGTGGATCAAAAATGAGCCCTTTGGCCATTTTTGCCAGCTTAGAAGGACATGTACCCATTGCAGGATTATGATACACAGAGTGGTTTATTAATGAAAAGATTTCTAGAGAAGGGTTCTGACAAGGCCCTCATCAATGAGGCATACATCAAGTACCAGCAGTACTCATTCAGTTATGCTCATTCGCCGAGTGATGTGCCACATAATAGTGAGGTCACGGGTCTCGGGAGTAGGGCAGTCTCAGTTAGAGACAAACTCACTAGCACCAATCAGACATTTGACATTATTTTCAGCATTCAGTACAACAGCAAAGCCTTTGCCATCAAGTGAATCATTGAGAAATATTGGGGTATTCTCCATCGTGATCCTTGTCTTAAGAGTGGAACTCTGGAGTGCCCCGACATCATCTTTCAGAGACCCAAAATCTTAGGGGCTACATAGCACCCAGTAAGTTACGGTCACAGAAGACCACAGTCAGCCCTGGTAGCTACAGGTGAGGTGTCCCCAACTGTGCAATATGCCACTACATGTGGCATAGAAAGAGATCAGTCACCGGTCCTGAAGGCCAAACGTACACCATCCAGCAGTTCATCAATTGTGGATCACAGTTTGTGGTCTACAGCCTGCTGTGTCCCTTATAATCAGTTTGAATAGTCATTTTTAATTTTTATCTTTCAATTCTTTATTGTTTTTATTTTTGATTATGTAAACAGTGATGGACAGATGCTTCCGTTCACGCCAACAAAAAACATATTTATTCTTTTTTTTCATTATTTTTTGTTTTATTGTGTTTTCGTTATTTTTTCATTTTTATATATATATATATATATATATATATATATATATATATATAAATTTGTAAAAAAATTTCTGTGGATTCGTGATGTCACTACTCCAAGGGGTCACCTCCATAACCGGAAGTGACGAGGGTGATCAGTTCCAGTCTACAGGGAGGTGTCGGTTTCGTGTCAGGGCCATGTTGGCGTTGTTTTTTCCAGCACCAGTGTCCATGCTGTGCGATGCCCTTGTGCATCATTCCGCAAGTATCTTGTCCTTTTTTTCACTACACAATGGGCAATTTGCTTGCAATCAGAATCTTTCACCTGGAACCGGAAGTCCAGTTTCCGGTTCACAGGCAGATACTGTTTGTGCTCCAAGGACAGCTGGCTGCATTCCAACAGACATTCCTCGAGAGTTTCAGTCTTTCAGGATACACGAATGGTATCTGCGAGGAAGAGGATAATATTGTAAGTTCATTTTGGGGTCCAATTACCTCTAATTATAATTACTATTCTCCATTTTCCACTATTGATTACAATATACTGTATATTATATATTCATTATTTATTCATTTATTTATATTTACTGGTATACAATCGATTGATTCATTGTTATGAACTTATGATTATTTTTATTTCTATTTATTTATAGTGTGGGAGGTGCTTTGCTCATATGTCTGTATGTATGTACCTGTGCATACAAAGGCTGGTTAGCTTTGCTCTGAGGAAGGAAGTGCGCCCCCGAATCGCATTAGGCTGCTAGCTCAGTGAAGTGTGTTTGTGTACACGTATCCTGCACTTCAAGGCATCTTCTGATCTACACGCTTTTATACGTTGCACTTTTATACACAAATGAATATGGGATTTTACACTTTGACTATAAACTTTAAAGCTTCCTAACTGGCTAGAGACTGAGAGGCCATAATGGTTCAGACCAGATGATGGGTAGGCTTCTAATACATTGGATGTGCAGCTCCTTGTTGCTAAGTAACAGTGCTGTAGGTCTCTGATGCTTATACTTCAAATAACCAGTTTAACAAAAAATATTAACAACAAATATGTAAACAATATAGAACATATGTTAATGGAAAAACAAATAAAATCACGGGGGATTAACTCTCCACCCTACTTACTTTCATGTGGTTGGCCTGAAA